TGTATATATACGTTGTGAATATTCAATGAAAAGCAGATAAGTTTTTCCCAACATTCTACATGATATTAGAGCCAATTTCCCGGGAACTTCTCAAACCCTAGGCTCGTATTTTTCTCTCGCACGGTGCCGCCACCGTAGCTTCGCCGGCCGCCTCACGACGGTCGCCTCTCTTCGATCGGCTCACGTCAGTCACCACCACTGCAGCGCCGGCTCTCGCTGGCTGCCACATCAACCCCGGCTCACGTCGGTCACGTAACCACCGCCTCACGTCGGTGTTATTTTCGTCTCCATGACAACTGAAGGAACAAAGAAGGTCAGACTCATCCACGACCCTACCTCTCCGTACTACATCTACCCGTCCGAAAGCGCGGGTAATTCCTTAACGAAACATCTTCTCAAAGGTGATAATTATTTTTGGGAGAAAACCATTGTTAATGCTCTCGAAGGGCGTAGCAGAGCAGGTTTTCTCAATCCCTCCGGGTTTCCTAAACCCAGTGATGAACAGGAATTGGCGGCATGGAAAGCTAATAGTTCCATTATTTGTTCTTGGATCTGTAACAGTGTTGATGAACACATCCAACCTTCCATTATCTCCCATAAAATTGCTCATGAATTATGGTTAGATCTGAAGACCAGATATGGAGGTTCGAATGGACCTCGTATTCATCAATTGAAATCTGAGTTCCAATCTTTGCGTCAAAAGGGACAAACTGTGGTTGTTTATTATAATCAATTTGTGACTTTATGGAACAAGTTGTATGGATCTGTTGATCCAACGTGTGGTTTCCGATGTGAGGTTGCGGCTTTAATTCGAGCGCGCGAGGAACAGGAGAAAACTCATCATTTCTTGCTCGGTCTCGACGACGAACAGTTCGGTCACAACCAATCTCATATTATTGCCACCGAACCTGTTCCGGACATACACCGGGCTTATGCTCTCATCGTTCAAGGAACGCCACAAAAGCATTGTCCGTGGCCGAGATGACCGTACGGACGCCCTCGCATTTGCCTTGCAACGTCCCGCTCCCACCATGGGTCGTGGAGACCCCCCCATTATTCGTGCACTCATTGTGGAAAAGATGGCCATTCCGTGGATCGGTGCTATCAATTGCATGGATATCCGCCCGGGAAGGGCCGTTGGGGTCGCGACACTGCATCCGGCTGTGGGGGTCGCGGCGGTGGCCGAACACCGTCCGGCGGCAGTGGCACCCCTGGTCGTGGGTATGGCTGAGGGGTAGGATCGGCGACAGGGGGAGCAAATGCAGCCACCAACTCCAACGCCTTGGGCCTCACACCTGATCAGATGACACGTTTACTTTCCATGCTCGACGTTTCGTCTTCCGACAAGGATACCGGGCCTAATGGTGATGCATCGTCTCGTGAGTGGCTTATTGATAGTGGCGCCTCTCATCACATGACTGATAATATCTCATTTTTAACCGTTGTGGTTCCCATGGCCCCCTGTGTCATCACGTTACCCAATGGCACACAGACTACAGCCACTCGATGTGGCCGTGTGTGGCTCTCACCCGAAGTAGTGCTTCGAGGTGTTTTGCTTGTTCCTCATCTACAGTGCAATCTTATTTCTGTTGGTTGTCTTATTCGGGATACCTCTTGTCTTGTTATTTTTAACAAAAACTGTTGTGTCATACAGGACTGTGTCACGAAGATGGAGATTGGACGGGGTGATGCACACAATGGAGTTTTCCTGTTTCGTCCATCTTCTATAGCACTTGCTACCCAAGTGGATCCTTCTCTTCTTCATAAACACTTGGGGCATCCATCTGTTCAACTTTTGTCGTCCCTTATTCCTTCTGTCAGTAGCTCTAAACTTAAATTATTGCAATCATGTGAAATTTGTTTTCAATCCAAATAAGTTCGTAGCTCTTTTCCTATCAGTTCCAATAAAGCTACTAGTGTTTTTGATCTAATTCATTGTGATTTATGGGGCCCCTACACCTCCTGTTTAGCTACTAGTGCACATTATTTTCTCACTATCGTGGATGACCACTCTCGTGCAGTTTGGGCCTATTTGATCATTGATAAATCTGAAGTCCCTAGTTGTTTGAAACAATTTTTTTCCATGATACAAACCCAATTTCATAAAACCATAAAAATTGTTCGTTCTAATAATGGCACCGAATTTGTCAATCAGGACCTGCGGTCATATTATGCGACTTTGGGTGTTCTTATTCAAACTTCTTGTGTAGGTACTCCTCAACAAAATGGTCGGGTAGAACGTAAACATAGACACATATTAAATGTCGCCCGCTCCCTTATGTTTCAAGCTCACTTACCTATTGAATTCTAGGGGGAATGTGTTCGTACTGCTGTTTATTTATTTAACCGTACTCCCAACAAACTACTTGGTGGCAAGTCTCCGTTTGAAGTTCTAAATCACAAAGCACCCAATCTTGGTCATCTCCAAATTTTTGGATGTCTATGCTTTGTACGACTCAGGACTTCTAATAAATTTTCTCCTCGAAACACCAAGTGCATGTTTGTTGGGTACCCCTCCGGCACGAAAGGTTGGCGTGTGTATGACCTTGATACTCATCGTTTTTTCACACTCGGGACATCGCTTTTGATGAGAGCACATTCCCGTTTGCCACACATCATACGCCGACCGAACCCTCTACCTCCACCCCACATGCCGACTTTCCCAAATCACCCCTGTCCGACCCCCTTCCAGCTGTCGTACCTGACGGCCAGCTTGCCCAGCTGACAGCTGCCACCGAGCAGCTCACCGACGCCCAGCCCCACTCCCATACAGCTGCCGCTCCTCCGCTTCGCCCTCAACGGCAGCGTCGTCAGCCATCCCATCTTAGTGATTACATCGTCAATTCTGTTCAAACTCACGCTCCATTGTGCTCATTGCCTTCCCAGTCGTCGTCTTCAGGTACACGTTATCCTATTGCCAACTTTGTTTGTTATCATAAATTGCATGACAGGTATCGAGGATTCCTTGGCGCCATCAGTCCTCATTTTGTTCCTAAAAATTATTCTGAGGCGGTCCCACATGCCAATTGGCATGCGGAAATGGACACGGAGCTCCAAGCATTGGTTAATAATAACACTTGGGAAATCTCAGACTTGCCTCCGGATCGGACAGCTTTTTGCTGTCAATGGGTCTTTAAGTCCAAGTTTAATTCCGATGGCACTAAAGAACGGGACAAGGCCCGTCTGGTTGTTCTTGGAAATCATCAGAATTTGGGGGTGGATTACACTGACACTTTTGCTCCAGTAGCAAAAATGGGGTCTGTCCGTGTTTTGCTCTCTGTGACTGCAACAAAGGGGTGGCAGGTGCACCAACTCGACGTTAACAACGCCTTCCTTCATGGTGATCTGATTAGGGAAGTCTATATGTGGTTGCCACCTGGACTTTCACAGATGTATCTAGGCAAAGTTTGTCGACTACGCAAATCCCTTTATGGTCTGCGCCAATCCCCCCAAAACTGGTTTGGGAAGCTCACCTGTGCCCTTCGGCGGTACGGGTTTCGTCAGGCACATGCAGATCATACCCTCTTTATTCATCGTCGAGGATCTGACATTCTGGTTGTCTTGGTTTATGTTGATGACATTTTGGTTGCAGGTAACAACCCCACCTTATGTGCTTCTTTTAAGGTTTATCTTGATCGATGTTTTCACCTGAAGGACTTGGGACCCTTATCTTATTTTTTGGGCATTGAGTGTGCTCGATCTGCGGCGGGTATTGTTCTTTGTCAGCGGAAATATGCACGAGACATCCTTCATGAAGCCGGTCTCTTGGGCTGCAAACCAACCGACACACCCATCACGCCGAACCACGGGCTGGGTAGGTTGACTAGCGCCGAGCTCCGCGACCTGGCACAGTATCGGCGACTTGTGGGTCGCTTAATTTACCTCACTAACACTCGTCCGGATCTCACTTATTCGGTTCATGTTCTGTCTCAATTTATGCATGCGCCTCGCCTTGATCATATGGAAGCTGCCAAACGGGTCCTTCGCTACTTGAAGGGTCAGGTCAGGGTATTCTCCTACGTAGTGACAGCTCACTACAGCTATCCGCTTATAGTGACTCCGACTGGGCATCTTGTCCCCTTACTCGTCGCTCTGTTAGCAGCTACTTCATTCTTTTAGGTGGCTCCCCGGTTTCTTGGAAAACAAAAAAACAAACCACCGTGTCCCGTTCATCAGCAGAAGCTGAATATCGTGCAATGGCTAACGCATGTGCAGAAGTGCGATGGATTTGCGGTCTTCTTGGGGCGCTCAGCATTGCTTCACCAACGACGCCACGTTTGTTTTGTGATAATAAGTCTGCTTTATTTATTGCTGCCAATCCTGTTTTTCATGAACACATGAAACATATTTATATCAATTGTCATATTGTCCGTGAATGTGTTCAGCGCGGTGAGATCGCTACAGCATATGTTCCTACTCGTCTACAAATTGCTGATCTGTTTACTAAGGCTTTGAACATGCCTCTCTTCGCGTTCTTATTGTTCAAGTTGGGCATTTGTGATCTCCATGCTCCAACTTGAGGGGGGGTGTTAGCATATATATATTTATTTACTTCCATATATATGTAATTATTTTCCTTGTAATTTGTTTCCTTATAAATAGTCCTTTCCATACTTGTAGTAGGACTTGGCACATGTATATATCTGTTGTGAATATTCAATGAAAAGCAGTTCAGTTTTTCCCAAAATTCTACACAAATCCATCAGTTTGATTTTTTTATTTAAAAGTAAATTAGATCCAATTTTGGAGATAAAAGCTTGCTACTTCTATTTTCGTAATAATGAGTCTGATTTTACACGTTGATTGGGGAGTGACAACATTATGAGATAGATGGAGTATTAACTTTAAATTGCTCACTTATAATGCATTTCATGTATATTTTAATTTTTCAGTTGACAACTCATATTTAATAATTACCTAATCAATATTTAAATTGTCACATATTTAGCTTAATTAGCAACTTGGAGTAAGAGTGTAAAAATGAGTAATTTCTGTGAACAACGGTATCAGTTGTTATATTTCCAAAAAGTAATTTCCAAAATGGTACTCTCTATTAAGATGTTTTTTCCAAATCAGTCCTCAATAAGTTTTAAATATCTACATGGTCATCTATAGTTGAGATCTATTTTCTAAATAGTCTTTCATTACTTGTACTAATTAGTTCTCCACTGATGTTCAAAAAATAAAATAAAATTTCTCCACTGCAAAAAAACAAAAAAAAAACCAAAAACAAAATGTGTGTGCGTGTGTGTATAAGGTCTCTGGGTTGAATGGTTTCATTTGCGTCCGCCAATGATGCTTTGGTTGTTCACCCCATACAAACTACAAGAAGCCGAGTTCCCTCCTGTCGTCCCCTGAAACGTTTGATGCCCATGGCCCAGAACATTCAGATCTTCAAACAGCCTATACGACGGAACAAAAGGCGTTTGTCCGGCATAGGTCGAGCCACCACCCCCGACTTGCGACATCCCATAATTGTTCGTACCCGAGATGCTGTTTCCCCAAGCCGGGATTGCATTTGATGAAGACGCCGCAGCCGCAAAATATCCCGGCGTTGCTGCATACTGCGGCGTGGCATACCCATAGTACTGTGGATATGCCGTCGGCTGCGGCGGCGGCTGTAACACTTCATAGTAAAACTGAGGTTGTGGTTGAGGTTGTGCAGCCCAGGTGGCTACGTAGCTGTTTTGAGATCCCGGGGTCTCGTTTATGATGTCTTGTGTTTGAGACACGGGCGGGAGGTCGGTTGATGTCAGGGTGATGCTTAACAGGTCGATCATGTCTTGTTCTTTTGTGCGCGCGGGAGGGGGGTCCACAACAACCAATGCATTGTTCGTGTTCGGAGGATCGTCCGAGGAATCTCCTCCTCCGTTGCCCCCCGTTTTAGTATGCCTGGAAGAACAAGAAGTTGAATCGAAGCCAAATGAAAGGCCAAATACGGAGTAGGAAAAAATAAAGAGATTAATCTACCTTTGAGCGAGCCGTGCAAAGTCATCTTCTTCATCTTCATCTTCTTCGCCTAAAAGAGAAGGAACGGGTACAAGGGGGGCCACCTCACTATCTGGTTCCAGATTAGGAAGACCAGCCCCGTCCTTACTATTACTTTGTGCCTCAGTTGATTCGTGTTTGATTTCTGTGACGGCTGGATTGGGGAAGAAGGTTCCCGAAGCTATGGCGTCATGCTTTGCAAGCACCCTTTGTAAAGCATCATTCAATTCAAGACCTTGAGCTAGAATATCTTCGTCCCTAATGGAACGAAAGAACGAATCAATTTAATGGTTTTTTAATATATAAAAATAATAATAAGACCAGAAAAGAGGAAGAAGAAGCTTGCCCAGTTGTGGTTAACATATGCATCAGTTTCTTGTGATTTGCACGGCAGCGCTCTACAAGATCAACTACAACATCATCTTTTACAGCCGTCGCCTATAACCAAAGTACATTATATTGATCAGGGGAAAGTCATGTTTTCTGCGTGGAGATATAAAAAAAAAAGATGGAGGCCGAGGAAGAAGAAAGACAACGTACAGCACCGTCCCCAGGACTCACAGCTTGCAGCATTTCAGCCAAGAGGTTTAGGACACTCCTCATTGAACTTATGGTTGGAAAACTGTCTCAATGTCAATTAATACACTAATGTCAATATATACAAAGTAATATATGAACCAGATCAGGCTTAAATCTTGTGTTTTCTCATTTTACTTTGAATATAGATTTTTTGGTTTAGGGCGAAAATAAATGCAGTTCCAAGACTTATAATTACCTCAAATTTTCGGTCTGAGCTGCCAATGAAGAAGACTCACTAGGCGTTTCGTATCCTAGTTGGAGATGTTTTCGTGTAGGATGAGACACCGGTGGAGTAAAAATTGGGGCTGAATTACATGCACGTGGAGGAAATCCCACGCCAGCATTCTGCAACAAGTTTGGTGATCAATAACAAAACATTGCAAGGAACCAACGCAACCAAAAGTTCAAGTTTATGGTTGTAGACTTGCAGGCTTAGGGAAAATATTTTACATTATTTTCCACAAGCTACGGAGGATATTTTGAAAGCAATATATATTTACCTTGAGTTCTCGATATGCCCAATAATACTGGGGATACTTCCCTCCCGGGCCACCAAACGCCTCTTGCCAAGAGTCTATCAGTACTAGGATCTTATCTCTGACCCGCGTGTCCATCTGCACGATGCCAAAGAAATGAAAGACAAAACCTTTTGTGAAAAGGGAAGCATAAACGGTCCAAGATTCGAACAGATTGCCGAGGGAGAAGAACAGAAATAACTGAATTGATGGAGTAAGAAGGAAATTATATGTATGCATTAATTTCAAAGAACTTTTTGTGGTATGTCACTTGCCGTCTTCTTTACAATTTTGACCATCTCCGGCAGTATGCTTCTTTCAGCGATTTGGACGTGAATAACGTGAACGCAGTTCTTCACCATTGTCTCCAGAAGCTAAACGAAAGGCAAAGACGAAAAACAATATAAATCCCAAACAACACTTACATATCAACAAGCTATTCTGTACAAACGGAAACAAGAAATTGGACAACTAAATCAGAACCAAAAGTATTTCTTTAAAGATAGATACATACCGTTAAAGAAAGTAGTTGCACTTTGGGATTTTTGTTCAGTAACCTTTTCTTCAGTGCTCTAAGAACTTCTTTCGCCACCCTGAAAACCAAATCAAAATTATACCCATACAAGATTGAAACTTGAAATTAAATTAACCAAAAAAAAACAATTTTAGCATTTAAAATTTGAAACTAACCAAAATAATGAGTGATTGCATTGTATAATCAAATTGCTGAATAACCCATTGCAATGGTAAATTACACATTGCAAAAATTCACAAGAGAAACAAAAATGGAGAAGGCAAATTAACAAGGACAATATGAAACGTACAAAAATGAAAATCAAATGAGATATAAAAATATGTACCAATGATTGGAGTTGATGATGTCGCAGATACCAATGTTCATGGTCCAATCAGGGCCCATCAAGAACTCACTCGTGGCCTTCTCCACCCGAATCACCACCGATGATGCCGCCAGAAACCAAGAGGAAGAAGAAGGCGGCGCCGACATGGAAGATATCATCTTTTTCTTCTTTTTTTTCTTTCAATTCTGAGTTTCTTGAAAGAAAATAAATAAAAATAATGACCTTTGTGTTGGAAACTTACAGTAATTAATCTCTGGGTCTTGAGATCCTGCAGAGTTTCATTCTTTTCCTTAAAAGCTTTCTTTTTTTTGGGTTCCGAGGAAAGCTACGAAAGTTTCTCTTAGTATTCCCATGTCTTTCTCTTCTGTTTGGCTGTGAATGAAGGCTTTCGCGGTCTTCCCTGGCAAATTGATTTCTTGGCTAGAAATTCTTGCCACGTGTTTTTTCTGCCCTCCGTTAAGTTCTAAACCTTCTGCAGCGTACCTAAGTGGTTCTTCTAAATTAGATGTCACCACGGAAACTATGCAGGTGAGAAAAATTATGAACAAATATTGTATTATAATAGAACTATTAGTGTTTAAAAAAATAATCACGTGTATAGTTTTGACAAAAGTATAATATTCTTTGACAATACGTAGTATATTTTTTTAAAAATATACGGAGTATTTAGCTATAATGAGAATTTATATAATTATATTCGTTTAAAGATATAGCTTTAATGTTTCAAATGTTATACCGAGTAACATTTACGTACTCCTTCGTTCTTCAAAACTCTTCATGTTTTGACTTTTTTTAGTCAAACAGAGACATTTTTTATCATAAATTAAGCATAATCTAAATAAAGAAATGTTATAAAAAAATGTAATATATCAAAACTATATCCTAATAAGAACTCAATTACATTAAATTTATATTATAATTTAATATAATTTTTTCATAATTTGTAGTCAAAGTGTGTCACTGTTTGACCAAAAAAAATCAAAACAGAAAGAGTTTTCAGAGACGGAGGGAGTATTTAAAACTATAGGCAAAATGCTAGTCATCTTTGCCTGTTCATAGCCAACCAATGCCGAGCTTTGTCGGCGCATAGATGACGAGTTCCAGGCAGCCACACCGCCCACCATGTTCCCGAAGGAGATGACAAGGTTCGATACGATGAATAAAAGAAAAATATAGTTGCGCTTCAAAAGGAGAGGAAGAAGACGAATCCCAAGTGAATTCCAACTCTACACAAAGCATAAGGCAAATGCCAAATGAATTAGAAGTACCAAAGTGCATACTATATCACATAAGATGGTAAACCATGGCCATAAAAAATGCACTCACAAATGGCATTAAAGAGCAGTCTTCTAACTTATAGGACTGAACTGGTAAGAATAGTCTGCTACCAATTCAATTTCAGGTTATTGAGGTACAGAGGAATGTTGTATTAAGGTTGGGAGGGGCGGCGCATATATAGCCATGTCATTCCTTCCCTTCTTGGAGTTGGAGAGGACTCTTGGTTAATGTGGATTAGTCCTCGCCGGACCTGTCCCTGTTGATCTCCTCAAGAATGACAACAAGGGCAACGATGAATGCATAATCAACATTAGGATAGACCGTCACCCAAAAGTGGTCTTTCCCAACCAGTACGCTCCCGGCTGTGTGTTTCTTGTGCATCTGGGCAACAATGGCTGAGGACGACGAACCCCCTCCCCCTCCTCCTCCTCCTGCTGATGCATATATAGTGCACGATCTTTCAAGCCAGCTCCCCTCCATGTGGAAGTCACAATCATCTTCTTTAGTGTTGGCCGCTAAGAACACGTCCAGCTTTGTCTTCAGCTGCACCAGAGAAGACTTCTTCACGCTGAACAACATATCCTTTGGGTCTGTGCTTTCTCCCCTGAACGCTTGCCATCTTCTGTGTGCAGAGAATATCTGATCCACCCCAAAACGGAGAATACATTATAAAGATAAAATAGTAAGAGAAGAATACTTTTCATTTGGAACACTGGAAAATGCTTAGAAGGAATGAAATAGAAGAAAACTTCATTTGGAACACTGGAAAATGCTTAGGGATTATAAAAGGAATGAAAAAAGGAGAAAACTTCATTTGGAACACTTCATTGATAGGTTTTTTCTTCTTAAAAAAAGAAAGTAACACTCATATACTCTGTGTTATTCAGATCAAACCAAAGTACATCTAAAATAAAACCGAAGTTCCTGCTAAAGCATTAGAAGCCTAATTCGCAACCGAAATCAAAACGAACTTCTTTGATCACAAAAGATTGTTGTTAATCACTCCTATTTAAGGTTGGTTGAAACTCAATAAATTGTTTTTGGGTCTTTGTTCAAACTCATTTTACTTCTACATTTCTATTAAAGAAAGCTAAAGATCAACTATCCTACATGCTCCAAAAAGAATTCGTTTGATTTAAGCTATTTTCTCTTATTCCACAAATTCATTTCTAGATACCAAGAATTTGTTCAAATAATTCATTTCCCTTATAAACTTCTGTTATAGAAAGCTAAAGAGATTATCTTTACAGTTTCCAAAAAGAAACTGCTTGATTTAAATTATTTCTCTTGTTTCTAAATGAATTTGAATGGCACGATTTTATTCTCTCTCAATCTCTTCTCAAAATAGATGAATTAGGTAAAGAACATGGGGCAGGCCGGGCCATGTGACCCCTAGCTCTGCAATTGAGCACAACTCACCTTTTGTTGGAAAGTGACGATGGGATTACCGGCGGCGTCGAGCAAGATCCGGCGATCGCGAAGGCTGAGGAGCTTGCTTTTGACCTTGAACATAACGTTCTCGTTCACGTCGACCACTTTGAATTTGCCTTCTTGAAGGGTCAGAACCTCCCTAACCACAGCCAGATCCACCGTGTACGGAACGACGAATTGGGGGCCGACCACCGGCGCCGTAGCCACCGGCTGCGGCGGGTAAGGGATGCTTGACCCGGCCATCATCACTATGCAAATACCGGAGTAAGAAAAATGATCGATGGGAATGGATAGTAGTCAGGATGAGGTGTGGACTGACATGGTACCGGTCCGGGTGGATTCCTCCACAGTGTTCGAGGTACAATCTTGAGAAGTCGAGTAGGGTTGCATGACCGTCCCGTCCGATTTCAGTCCGATTCTTACACCCATTTGAGTTTGATGACCTTTACTTCACCGTGCACATCATTTTTGTATATTTTCTTATATAAAAAATAATAATTATTTAAATAGTATAGGTCCATTGTTGACCTTAGGTCCACCATAAAATTTCCTTGAAAAATTGGTATGCTATGAATTTTGACAATGGAAAAAAATATTGAATTTTGATTTTTGAAATGAAATTATTTAGATACATTTCGACCGAATTGAACCAAACCTAAAGTCAAGGTTATTTGGTGAGAAAAGGAAAAAATGAAAAAGGACAAAACTCATCAAATTGAAACAGAACGATCTAAAATAATGAAACAAGATCCTAAATTGGATTGAAGGACGATGAGGATGTAACCAATGATTGGCCACCTAAACAATGCGGCTTCCGCTTATGGTTTTAAACCCAGGTTCCCGGCCGGTGATGATGATAGTTGTCTCAACATCCAAGAGATACTAGCAAATCGAGGACAGAGGTTGGAGCTCTAGATTGGATGATGGTGAATTGGGTTGCAGATTCCGCGTGTGGACGGAGGCTACTTTTAGGATGGCTTCGATTGTCTGGCAACAATGGGCAGGTGATATGGGTTGCAAAGAGAGATGTGAAAAGAATAAAATTTTAATAAGAGTTGTCAACGAGTTAGGTGGTGCAGAGTGCACACTTGTTCAATGATAAGACCATGCTACACTTACACCAAAAATTGTACTCCATTTGTACACCGTAGTTATACACAAACATTTTGATGGTTTAAACTAACACAAGTGTTGGTGCGCTAACAAAAATTTACACGGATACAAAGTGTTGGTGCGTTAACAAAAATTAGTTTTACACCAACACAAAATGTCGGTATAAACATGCGGTGTAAAAATGAGGTACAAAAGCTTGGGGTACAAATAGCTTTATCCTCAATGATATTATAAATTTTGTAGCGCGTCCAAGGGAAAGAGCCTCTCGCTGAAGTTAAGGAAAAATTTATTTTGGATATAGTTGCTTTATGAAAATCATTTGAATTTTCTTAAACGGAGTTCAAAGTTATGTACATTTGAATGTATAAAGTGAAATACATCGAATGTAATGTTTATCTCCAACATTCCTTACTAAACGACCCGATACATTTGAATTTTTACTTAACATTGAATGTTTCGCGATAAGATCAATGATTTGCGTAGAAAACCGTTGAAACGTAATGGTTATCCATTACGATAAGACCCATAATGTTCTATTTAAAGTTGTGATGTTTCATCAAGAGATGCGTTCGATCAGTTTGTGCTCTATATATATGGAGTACGTGCAAGGTATGTTTGAGAGACAATAAAACATTCATACTCGTTTTAGATACTAATGTCTTATCCGATTGAACTATTTTGGCATGCTCCAAAATAACTTTAATTTCAAAGTGATCACGCGATTTGTTTAGTCTATCAAATTTCTTCACACTCATTCGTATACCGTTCTGAGTAACGCTGCTACGCAATGTGTTACCTCTCCCACGTTTTTAACATATAAAACCACGAGTAATATCGACGAAATCAATTACTCTTAATATTGCAATATTGCTACAAACATACCGCTCTAATTCTTTTTTACCAAAAATTATTTTTGAAAACTCGATGTTGGAGATATAAAAACACATGTGCGTTTAGCTCACCAAACATACCCTTAGTTTATTTATAAAAAACTAGTTTCTTAAAGGATTTAAAAAGTCAAAGATTAACAAACTTCAAAAAAGTAAAAAACCTCGAAAGTTAAAAAGAAAGGAAAATGTTAGGGTGCCACCACATGGGTGCACCCATGGTAGCACCCATGTGGTGGACCCTAGCATGGTCCAAAAAGAAATTCTTATATTTTATAAAGTAATTAGAGATTACAATGATCCTACCATATACAAAAAAGTAGAAAAACCTAAAGTCAAGTTATTTGGTGAGAAAAGAAAAAAAAGAAAAAGACAAAACTCGTCAAATTGATACAGAACGGTGTAAAAAAATGAAACAACGCGACTTCCGCTTATGGCTTTAAACCCAGGTTCCCGACCGGCGATGACGATGGTTGTCTCAACATTCAACAGCTACTGGCAATTGAGGACGGAGGTTGGAGATCCAGATTGGATGATGGCCAATTGGGTTGCAAATTCCGCGTGTGGACGGCTGTTGCTCCTAGGATGGCTTTGATTGTCTAGAAGCAACGGGCGGGTGATATGGGTTGCAAAGAGAGATGTGAAAAGAATGAAATTTTAATAGGCATTGTCAAAGATTTGGGTGGTGCAGAGTGCACATTTGTTCAATGATATTATAAATTTCGTAGTGGGTCCAAAGAGAAGAGCCTCTCGCTGAAGTTAAGGAAAAATTTATTTTGCACATAGTTGCTTTATGGATATCATTTGAATTTTCATAAATGGAGTTCAAACTTATTGTAACGCCACAAAATATGGCCTGAAATTTATTATAAAACAAAAGTAAATTCTGTCCGATAAGGAATATTTATACATGAATTAAGGTGAATTCTCGTTTCACCTTAACTCATGTAATTCCGGGTTATACGGATTGGGGTGTTACACTTATGTACATTCGAATGTATAAAACTATACATCGAGTGTAATGTCTATCTCCAACATTCTTTACTAAACGACCGGATACATTCAAATTTTTACTTAACATTGAATGCTTCGCGATAAGATGCAATGATTCGCATAGAAAACCGTTGAAATGTAATGGTTATCCATTACCATAAGACCCATAATGTTCTCTCTAAAGTTGTGATGTTTCATCAACATATGAGTTTGATCCGTTTGCGCTCTATATATATGGAGTACGTGCAAGGTATGTTTGAGAGACAATAGAACTTTCATACTCGTTTTAGATACTCATGTCTTATTCGATTGAAGTATTTTGGCATACCCTAAAATAACTCTAATTTGAAAGCGATCACGTGATTTGTTTAGTCAATCAAATTTCTTTGTGCTCATTCATACGTATACCATTATATGTAACGCTGCTACGCAATGTGTTACCTCTCCCACTTTTTTAACATATAATACCACGAGTAATATTGACGAAATCAACTCTTAATATTGCAATATTGCTACAGATATGCGTATAAGGGATTTTCATAGAGTTTGGATATCTTTAGATTTGAAAGCTCTAATTCTTTTTCAACAAAAATTATTTTTGAAAACTCGATGCCGGAAATATAAAACCACATGTCAGTTTAGCTCATTAAACATACCCTTAGTTTATTTATAAAAAACCGGTTTCTTAAAGTATTTAATAAGTCAAAAAAACTTCAAAAAGTAAAAAACCTCAAAAGTTAAAAAGCAAGTCTTACATTTTATAAAAATAATTAGAGATTACAATTATCCTACCACATACAAAAAAGCATAAAAACTCAAGAACTGTTTCCACCCAATCAAATCAAAAATTGTAAGACGTAACTACGGGATGACCCACCAATCAAGTGTAAACCTCTTGCTCAATCAATTAAGTGTACGGCACTTGGCCAAACAGGCTAATACACTTGTTTGGTCCATGGGTCACCTGTTGACGTGAGCTCGGTCCACCAAAACTTTGACTCGGATATGCATATTGGGCTCTACATATTGGTCCAACAAACTATACGGATGTTGACTATTATGTACATAAAACGTATCGTGATTCCTTTTATGCACTTGGGTTGTTGGATGATGGTAATGAGTATCTTTATGCATTCAAGGAAGCTTGTCATTGGGCACCAGCTGGACAATTAAGAAATTTGTTTGTAACATTACTCGCAAGCGAGTCAATGTCTAAGCCTAGATATGTATAGGATGAATGTTTTAAGTATAAAGCCGAAAATATTCTATTGTCAGAGACGTATGCTTAACCATCCAGGAAAATTTAATGTTTCATTCTTCATTTACATTCAAATAGTTATTTTTTCTTAAACATTAAACTTTTTACTACTGAAATGAATATAATTTTCAAGAATTACTGTTGAGTGAAAATGAATTGCAAAAATATGCCTTAGTCAAAAATGGGACATGGTTGAGAGTGCGTGGTAACAACTTTTGGGATTATGTTGAAATGTCGTTTCCAAATTTTAATGATGCATATATATGTCGCGTATAGTAGATTGATCTTTGAGATTTGCAGTATGATCACTTCATTTTAGGTCATGAGCATCAACGTTTGACGATGAAGTTGAATACTAAGCAACGTGCAGTCCAACGTATGATAATGTAATGCCATCATTAGAGAGTAAGAATGATAAAATTTTCTTCTGATACGGTTATAGAGGAACTAGGAAAATGTTTGTTTAGAAAACTCTATCTACGTATTTACACTAAAAAAGAGAAACTTATAATGTTAAATGTTTCATCATGTGGTACTGCATCCCAATTATTGTCGGGAGGAATACCAACACATTTAAGTTTTTCTATCTTATTAAATCCATATGAGAGTTCCACATGCAATATCAAACAAGGTAGTCTCTTAGCTAAATTATTAATTCTTACGCAACTTATCAATTGGGATGAAGCACCAATGACCAAAAAACATTGCTTTGAGGCATTGGATTTGAGCTTGCGTGACATTATGCATTTGATTAATACTGTAAATGACCAGCAACCATTTGCAAGAAAATGATTATTCTTGGTGGTGATTTTTGTCTAATCTTACTTGTAATTCTCAAGGGAACCAAACAAGATATTATTAATACGACAATTAATTCATGTTATTTGTGGCAACATTGTACAATTTTACATTTGACAGTGAACATGAGATTGTAATCTATGGTGCAGGATCGGAAGAACACTGTTGGAATTTTTGGCATTTTTAATAGGCATTAAATGGACCAACTTGGGTATATTTCTCAATAGGTCCACTAATGGTTTTAATTGTTAATTAATGGACATGTGCTCTCTTAAATGAGATAAATGTTTTGATAATTTATAGGCCAAAAATGGTAGAGGGTGAATGAGAAATTGATTCTCAGAGTTAACCTGTTAATAGAAGAATATGGTAAGGATTGCAATTTTTCAA